GACTGTGTACTTAAATGTCTCGATACGCTCGCAGCCAGCGTTTAAGTATCGTAATCGAATGTCGTAGAATTTTTGATGAAGTTCTTGCTGCTTCTTGAGTGGCACTACGTCACGTCTGGTTTATGGTTACCAGTGGCGGCCGGCGTTATGTCTTTTCGGGCATGATTTACAACAATATTTTATGTGAATGAGGGGCATTGGATCACAGAAGGCAAACAATTTGGAAAACCTAAATTATGTCTGAAATAATGGGACATACATCCAGTAAGGGATCTGTACAAACTAGTATAGGACATACAGCTCCTTAAAGCCCCTTATAGAAGATGCATCCCCTTAAAGGGGTTACATAAAATTTGTATAACAATTTTTTTCACAGGCACTGAAAAAGTTACAATATTGAAGTAAACCTGACGTTTTGTACTACCAAAAAGACACTTAGCCAGTAATTTATTTGGTTTACCCCATGGTTGTAAGGGGTGGAAAACGCAACCCCTAAAATCTTTCTCCAATGTAACTTTTTGTCTTATTATTTGTTTACCATTCAAAAATTTATTTCCGATAGCCTGTTTCATTCTAAACAAAAAATGTCTCTTTGGGATTTTGCCCAAAATTAACCAGTTCGCAGCAAAAAATTACTTTACGAGTCATAAATACGAACTGGATTTATTGTTATTTTGTAGTTAGTACCTGCATTAAACGGTTAAAGGGTAATAAACAAAACTAATTTATTAATAACAAAACACACAACATGTAGAAATCATAGTAAATGTTCAATATGTCTACCTTCAGACATTACGCATGCGTCTAGAAGTCGGCGCATTGAGTCACGTATTCGCTCATATATTCCTGGAGTCTCTCTGATTACCCTGCACGCATCGATCATGCGGTTTCTTAAGTCCTCTACATCGCGAACAGGAGTACGATAAACCAAATGCTGTAAATGACCCCAAATAGAGAAATCGAGAGGATTGAGATCCGGGGATCGAGCGGGCCAGTTCTGTGGTCCTCCTCGACCTATCCACTAATTTGCATATATTTCAGTAAAATGCTGACATGCTACTTGACTAAAATGGGCGAGAGCCCCATCATGCATAAAAAACATATCCCTTCTGACGCCCAAAGGAACTTCCTCCAGCAGTACTGGATGCACTTCTCTTAAAAATTGAACGTATGCCTCACCATTTAATCGAGGAGGTAGAAAATGAGGCCCAATTGAATCATCCCCATAACTCCGACCCACACGTTAAGAGAAAACTGTTCTTGATGGTTAGTTTCGACAATAGCAATGAAAATTAATAATCTTGTCCCGAGAAAAACTACATTCGTCTGTGAATTCTATCGTCTTCAGAAAGTCACAATTTCTTCTAATCATTTCCAGCATCCAATTGCAAAATTCAAGACGGTTCGGAAAGTCTCGCGGTAACAGTGCCTGTACTCGTTGCAGATGGTGAAGGTATGAGAGTTGTTCCTTTAAAATTCGAAATACCGTCATATGATCAACATTTTGCTGGAAAGCAATCTCTCTAGTACTGGTAGTAGGTTGTTCTTCAATCAAATTAAGTACTGCTTCCTCAAGCTGTGGTGTTCGTACTTCTCGATGGCGACCACAATCCTGCGTTCTTTTGTCGAATGAACCATATTCTCGTAATCGTTGATGAAGTCGAGCAAATATTTTATGTGAAGGATGCTGCCGTCGAGGATACATTTCAGAATATCTTCTAGAAGCTTCTAACCCATTCCCCTGCGACAGACCGTAAACGTAATGCATATCAGTCATTTCCTCATTTGTGTATGCCATTTTTATTAAAATGGCATACACAAATTAAAATTGTTATTACAAGTGAATTATTAAAGTAACAAATTGAGAACTGAACAACAACACCCAATTAGTATTAATTTAATTTCGAAAATTCATAAACTGACAGCATCATACCAATTTAATTGTCAATATCGCTAATAGCAACCTACTAGATACATTAGTTTCGTATTTTCGCATTTATGACGATGTATCTCTGTAGTTGTTCGTTAAATAATGTTTTGCTGCGAACTGGTTTATTTTGGGCAAAAAACCCAAGATAAAATAAATTTTTAAATGGTAAACATATAATAAGACAAAAAGTTACATTGGAAATAAATTTTAGGTGTTGCGTTTTCCACCCCTCACAACCATGGGGTAAACCAAATAAATTACTGGCTAAGTGTCTTTTTGGTAGTACAAAACGTCACAGGTTAATTTCAAAATTGTAACTTCTTTAGTGCTTGTGAAAAAAAATGTTATACACATTTTATGTACCCCCTTTAAGGGGATGTATCTTAACAAGGGATGCTCCAATGAAATTTTTTTATATGAAAGATCCTATCTTTTTTTCGATGAGGAATCACCTCCTTAAATGTTTTACACTCATTCAGTTACGCCCTGTATATATACTGTACATACACGGGAAACTTTTTCAATTCCGATTTGAATTTTGTTTTATGATTTATTTTTAGTTTCTCTGGAAGATTATTATATATTTCGACTCCTGAATGAAATATTGATTTCTCCCCAAGTTTTGAGCGATATGATTTAACTAGTAGCTTTCTAGTTTGTCTTGGATGGTATTTTTGCTTGTCATCGATGGTATTTATTTGATTGAGATCCAGACTGGAATGTTTGTGATTTTTCAAATGAAAAATTGACTGAATATCTAAAAGATCACGTGGTATATATAAATTTGACGTAGGTTCAAGATATGGTAATTTGAATATATATTTTATTATTTTATTTTGCAGTCTCTTGAGAGGATATATTATTGATAAATTAACTGTTTCCCAAATTGAAATTGAATATTGTATATTTGAATGTACCAAACAGAAATTTAGATATTTTAACCGAAAGAAATTTTTAACCCTAAATAATATTCCTAAAATTGGTCCGATTTTCTTTTTCAAATATCAATATGAGTATTCCAACAGAGACATTCATCAATGTATAGTCCTAAAAATTTTGCATTTGTAAGTACCTAGTGGTTTAAAGCTGGAACCTCCCAATCACCAGAACTGAAATACTCTTGTTGACGTGCGTTTCTCCAACTAAGTTGGCGTCTTCAGGAGATGAAGAAAAGTGAAACGCGCTTTCTGGTGATTGGGAAAAGTGCTTGTTTTGAATATGTACATTATTCAATAGTAGCAAATAAACACTGTCAGGGTTCTTTTTCTAATTGTCATTAGTGAAATTTGTCCCTATCACGTATGTAGATGAACGTTTTGTTTGCTGCCATTTTTTTTTCCGATGTAAATCCTAGAGAAAGATCGTAAAACGTTTCTCCCAAGCGATCAGTTGTACGACTAGTGTCGTTCAGCATGACATCAATAGTAGTCGCATCATTTTCAAATTATACTAGTAATAATTTACTTAACGAACTACGCACCATGAAACCCATAGATTTTCAGACTCACCTAGGAATGGACGAGGAATCATTCAAAAATTTATTAGAGGTAGTACGGCCAGCATGACTGGGAAAGAAGACTTCAGTTTAGAAACAAGCTATTTCGTACGAAACCACATAGGTTTCAATTATTATTCAAATGGCTGGATCAACAAAAATATTGTGCAACAAATTGTATCTCCGTTGAACCGTTAAAGAGGTTCTCAAGAAAATTATGCCTAATACTGATTGAATATGACAAGAAACGAATGCCTTCTAAATCTCACTTATCATAAATGGAGAATTACAATGAAATTGTAAATACCTAAAAATGTGTTTATCATGCAAAGGAAACTGTATTCTATTATATTCTAAATTTCAAAATACGATCCTCTTTTATACGTCCAAAACATGGAGACGAACATGAAAAGGAAATTATATCAATCCATTAGGCATTTTCGAAATGCTTCATGTAAATTTTTATATTTCGATTCGTAAAGTTTAATATTGTATATGTTCTCCGTTTTATTCAATCTAAGACTGTTTATCTCATGTGCCACGCAACTTTCAATTCCTTTTGTTGTTGAATTTCGGTCAACATAAAGATTATTTATAAACGTTTATTTCTGTTCGTATCTTGAAATAAATATCAATCTGCTTTTGAAGATCATCGCAAATTAAACTTAGTTGACAATTGAGTATTAGTCCAATTGATAACACATACGTATATTTTTCCTGCAATTATTTTGAGTTCTTATGCACCCAGACACGGATTTGAGGGGTATATGAGAGGTGGCGAGAAGTCGGCAAAATCGCCAAATNACGTTCAAAAAAAACCCCGTGTACCGAATTTCGCGCAAATAACTTATTTTTTGCAAGAGTTATTTTCAAAAAGCGAACAAAAAATTCTATTTCAACATCCTGTATCTCCGACACGAAGCATTTTCGGACACAAGTTCATATAGACTCAGGAATACGTCACTTGAATATTTTAACGTACTTATGTTACATCCTGTATATATATAATATATGGCCCGAATCTAGGGGAACAAGCCGGGACCTATGCTCCGCGCGGCAAATTCACACTTCTCACGTTAAGAAGAGAGTGACGTCATTTTTGGTAATTTTGTATATCCAATATAACAACGTTAAAATTCCCAATGAAATGCGTTAAATAGCAATGAAACTAGTAACATTTCATTTTCTAAGTTGCTCAACTGTTACTTGCTCAATGAGTTAAATTTCAGACGTAGCTGAATCGAAAAAAAGAAACTCGAAAACTGTCAGTCTTTCTTTATTTTTTCAGAACTAATCTTTTTTTATGAGATCTGCATATATTTAATATGCCTAAAGCATTGTCGAAACAGTCTCAACAAATTTGTATTTCAACTAAGTAAGGTTAATTGCAATAAAACAAATCATTACAAAAGAATTTGAAAGTTCGAAATAGTGCACATGTTGGCAACGCTGTAACTTGTCATTTTGTGACGTCATTCTCTCCTTAACGTGAATATCCTATATTCGCGAGACGCGTAGGCATAGTTCAAAATACGCGTCTGGTCACAGTGCATGCGAAAGGGATGAAGCTATATTTAAAAACAGTTGAAATACCATTCTAAATGACATCAAAGCAGCCAAATACTAAACGATAATGTTCGACTACACTTCAGATGTGTCCCATACATAACAAATGAGCCAGGTAATTCGATTTGTAAAAATGTCGTGGCTTATACTTTGATAATGGGTCCAATGTGGCTGGGAGTACAAGCCGGGATTGCAGAAAGGAATGACTTGGCCGAGTTCTTACCGTGCTTGGCTGACTCCTTGAATCTAGTAGGCGTTCATTCTGCCTCATCGTGTCAGGGAGTTATTTCATTTGAACTGATTCAAAAAGTATATTGTTTTTTGTTGGCTCCACTACTAGGTGAGACATGAAAATATATGTTAAAACAAATTCAAAATAAAGTGATCAGACGATATGGTCAGCGAAACATGTTGCTGCCCTATTAAATAAGGCAGGTCATCCCTTAATTGCTATAAAGAATTTCGTATTCATCGTTAATTTAACTGTATGGGCGAATATTCTCCGCGAAATCAATCGAGTGAATATATAAATTCAGAAATAAGATATTATCCTTGTCCATTCCGTCGCACTAGTTGATGGTTTGTAGAAAATGAGACAATGAACAATTGGATACAAGAGGCTGGAAAAGTTGCTGAAAAAACTGGTGTGGAACCTATTTTGCAAAACAAACGAATTCCGAAACGTAAAAAAAATTTCGATGAGATGTGTAAGGACAAATTACAAAAACTCCAATCTGTTCAACTATTTTCTAAAGAAATAATGATGGTATTTAATCGAATCAAACCAAAAGAGGTTTGATTATGCTTCCATGCTGAATTTGAATTTTGCATTTCCTAATGGTACCACTATTATGAAACTGTCAATTGAAGAACTGCAAAAAATGGAGCAGATCTGGCTCGAAAAGAAGAGTGAGATTTAAGCATCATTGGATTCTGCCAGGAACTCAACGTCTCTAAGTTTTTAAAGAGCATACTTTTATTTGATGATATAGAAAAGGCTAAGATCTATGCTCATGACTTGCAGGAGGCTATTCCTAATATTTGTACTGACCTGCGAATTTACTATATGCCTACTACATCCGCAAGCTGTGAGCGAAATTTTAGCAAACTAAAACTGATTAAAAGCTATTTGCGATCTTCTATGAGCCAGGAACGCTTATTTTGGTTTTGAATTATTTGTGGAAGTCCAGGGAAGGTTTTAAAGGTGAGTAAATGTGAAAAAGAAAAATAATAATATGGGAAGAAAGAAAACAAAAATGAGAAGATATGGTTATTTGTCTCAGGTGTCCCAGATGAAGTTCTTGTGGAAAACATAGATTAGTACATAAAGGAACGAACAAATCCTGAAAACAGATACATAAAAAAAATACCAACACAAAAAGACAACCAGTCTTTCATGATCGGAGTTGAAAGAGAGCAAGTGTATGAAGTTTCTGGCCTAGTAAAATACACTTCCTACGTTTCAATTTCAGGTTGGGACAACATTTCTTAGATAACCAACTCAAAAATAATGTAGATACAAATAGATCACGTTCTTTTTTATAAATACGACTGAAAGAATCATTAGATCAATACCAGTTAGGAAAAAAAAAGATTAAATAAAGTTTCTCCTACACACTTGAATAGTAAACGTAGACCTTTGGATGCTGAAATGAATATTTTCTATCTGAATATCCAATGTCTTAGTAACAAGATTGATGATCTAAATTTGTTTTTCTCAGAAATTTCATATCATGTATAGTGTGTCTCAGCGAAATATGGTTGGCAATAGAACAAGTACATTCCATTGGTATTAAGGATTACATAATAGTGAATTCTTACTGTAGGCAGAATTTCAAACATGGAGGTGTGATAATATTTGTAAAAAAAATCTTTCATCACAAAAAATTGATGTTAGTCATTTCTGTACGGAAAAAGACGCCGAATTCACAGCTATAGTTATTGAAAATACTGTTATAGTGACAATATATAGATTTAATCGTGGTGATTTTGACAAATTCTCAAATTCTATTAATAATATCTTGGAATTCATTACCAGGAACCATACTGAAGTTGTACTACTAGGGGAATTTTAATGTAAATTTTATCCCACACAGCCAATAAAAAAATACTTTACAAAATATACTCGTATATCATAATTTTAAAACTCTCTTACGTGAACCTACTAGGGTTACCGAATACTCCGCCACATGTATTGATAACATCTGCGTAAATTTCAACAGCTATGTAGACTTTGGAATCATCAAAGAGGACATATCAGATAATTTCGGGCAATTTATCAGTGTTAAAATGAATACAGATTCTATTTGGGACAACAAAAAAATGAAAAAATTCAGGCTAATAAGTGAAATGGGCATAGCAGAGTTGAAACATCATATAAACAAAATAGAATGGACACAATTTTACTTATCTAACAATCCATATATCTTAGCTAAATTCTTGTGTGATTACACAGTGTGACCCATTTAAAATGGAACCACCNCATAACGTATGCGATTGAAGTAGCATTTCCTCTAAAAAAAGTAAATCAAAAAATTCATTAACCAAAGTGGTTCACAGACGATCCGAAAAAATTAAGAAATTAACTGAAATTACATTCATAAAATGACGGGGAATCCAAAATCAAAACACTTTTGTAATTCAGCAAAAAAAAGACAACTGAAAAAATAAACAAATCTAAAAGGGAGGTGTATGAGAAGTGAGAACTTTTGAAAATGAACGTAAAAACCTTGGTATTTCTGAGACCCACAAACGAGAACGAAATTTTAACACTTTTGAGAACCTTAAAAAATAGGAGTAGTATGGATGCATACAATATCAGTTCGAAAATAATAAAACTTTTTAGAAAACGGAAAACTCCTAGATGATCATCAGTATGGTTTTAGTTCTCTCAGATCAACCTCTGAAGCTGTCACCGACATAGTGCACAAGATAGTCAAAAATCAAGATGTAGGGATACATACACGTGCACGTGCACGTTCAGGCACTATTCTATCTGATATATAAATAAAATAGTGCCTAGAGGATGACAGCACGACCATTTGTCGAAAGCGCTCGCAGATAATCAAATAGAAGGCATAGAGCTTCAAATCCTTTTTGTAACTTACATTAATAGTAAAATACTGAAAATAAAGG